AAACCCAAGGACTGAGATGGCTTTATCCAGTCTTTACTCCTCTGCAGAGGCAGAAAACTACTGCTGCATGAGTTGTACTATGTAAGCCAAGAACGGCCTAGGGCCAGTGTGTCTGTCCTGGTTTCTCTTCTGTGTGTGTGGCCTGGTAGTGGGAGTGGTGAGTATAGTATTGACGCCTTCAGTGCCTGCTTTTGGAATAGAGAAAATTAGCTGTCTAGACTGTCTGGGAGTTTTTAGAAGAAATTCAGGGTAGCCTCCAATTTACCTAATTGTTTTATTCCATTATGACTCTATGAATGATTATGTTTTAGAACTATAAGAAAATAATTATTCTAATATGCATAAATCACTAAATTATTAAGAAGTGAAATAAACTTACTCGTCATTTTAAATGTATGTTAAACTGGCTGTCATACATTTTATCTGTTTACTGTATTATGGGTCTGTTTATGCAAACATTGTTCAATTTCTGGACATGTGGTAGAGCCATTCTAACATAAACACAACTTTAAATAAATGGAACTAACGTTCCTGGGGAAATGACGCTAAATGGAGTATTGCAGGAGATTTTCATATTGGGAGAAGGCAGGGAGTCTCATGTTCCTCTAAACATGGCATAATAACAGACAGCGGAAAAAACACCCAGTACAATGAAATGCCAGGTATTTCATCTGCTGAAAATATGCCTATTTGGTGCTCTCTTGGTCATACCTGAGAGAGTAAGCTGTGGTACTCGGTGTTACTTCATAGATTTGTAAGGCTAGCTCTGAGGCTACAAGTGGTTTTTTCCAAAAGTGCTTCTCCTACTGCAAGTAGTGGGTATAAGCAACAGGAAAGTTGTCCTTAAGAGTGAGCAGTCAAGTGTCAGATAAAAGTGCACATATTTCTATAAAATATAACACAATAAATGTAACTTTTTGTATACAGTGGAAAAGACAGATATAATATAGAGCACCGTTTAAAGAGCTATAAACTCTTTGGTACCAATTAAACACCTTTATAACAAAATTTCAAAGATTATTAGGCTAAGAGGTTTTCAGTGGCAGGACAGGGCATCTTGGTGCTGTTCAGACCTGGTGTTAGAATGAATAGCAAAAGAATTAGCAAATTCCACATGGCAAGCAGGACTGAGCTTGTACCCAAGAACCCAGGCTAAAGATAAGGTTATAGTTCTAGAAGGGCTACACGTCCTAGAGGTCGAGAGGGTGGTTAGCAAGGGATAGAGACCCACTGGGAGGGTCTGGTCAGTGCAGAACCAAGGGCAAGTTGTTCATCGATGGGTCTGTAATCTGAGCAACAAGCATGGGACAACAACAGTGAGGAAAAGCTTAATACTGGGAGGGTCTGGTCAGTGCAGAACCAAGGGCAAGTTGTTCATCGATGGGTCTGTAATCTGTGCAACAAGCATGGGACAACAACAGTGAGGAAAAGCTTAATCCATACTTAGCTTTTCAGTGACCGGAGTCCTTGTATGGTCTTCTTCACTTTCTGAGTGGCTCTCTTTCTGAGTGTCCTCTCAGGAGGTGGGTGAGCTTGAGCCCACAGTAGCCACAAGTGACACACCTGACAGGAGTGGGAGAAATAAGTGTGCTGTGTGTGGAATATCTGAAGCCCTATTCACTGTCTAATCTGGTCCTGGAGTTTCCCAGAATGAAGGCAAAATAGCCTTTGCTGTGCTTGAATCTTATAATTGGGAAGCCTTGAAGGATTTACAGATTACTTCACTGCCAGTGAAACCTAAGACTTATTTAACTGTAGAAAGGTGTTAATTTGCTTTTAGAACTAGCATTTAACTCTTAGAACAGTGAATTATAACCCTGAAATTAAAAGCTTTTAAAACTATGGATTCTTGGACTCCACCTCAGATCAATTAAATTATAATCTTATAATTTAGATTATATATAAGGTAAATGGCACCTAGGCATCCATAAATTTTTAAAATTTTCAGGGATTTTACTGTTCTTTAATTGTTAAATTTAATTTATAAATGACTGAAGTAATATAAATTCTTCACTGTAAATAAAAAAAGATGTAAAGATATTGTTACTGTTTTACTCCCTTTCTATTTAGATTTATAATATATAAAGTATAAGGAATATAAAATGAACATTTTAAAAGGGGTTTACCCACCACTTTTCTCAATTTTATTGAAGGATAACATATGTACACAAATCACAAATGTAGTTAATGAGTTCTCCCAAAATAAACACACATTTGTAAATTTCATCTCAATCAAGAAACAGAACATTAGGACAATCCTCAGTCCCCATTCATGTCGCTTCTCCTTCACTACTCTTTCCTCCATAAAGGTATAAAAATGTTTCTATGTAATTCTATAATTCTAAAAAGCCATACCATTGTCGTCTAGGTAATTCTAATAATTCTAATAAGTCATACCATTGTCATCTAGGTAATTCTAATAATTCTAATAAGTCATACCATTGTCTTCTTGTCTACTTTTTCACTTTGTTTCCCATGTAGATTTTTTTTTAATGGAGTGAAAATACTTTAGGCATGAGGATTATTAGTCTCTCTGCTCTAATAATATTGATAATAATAATTAATATTTCGAGTTCTATATGTGCACTTACAAGTTGTATTGTAAGTTACATGTAAATGTTATATTGTGGTAACAAATTTTCAAACCATCACTCATCCAAGAATTTAGCTTTATTTTTCTAAAACTAACTAAATTAAACTTCTCTTTAGTCCCATGCTACCTGATGGCAGAAAATTTATTTCTACTCAGTTTCAACAGAGATCATGAACAATAGATGACAACTGCTTCCACATTTTAAAATGAAATGTTGGTCCACCATGCCAAGGAAAGTGGCTTGCTGCACTGGGAAGCCTGAGGTTGCTGGGGCAAAGGATGGTGACAGTGTCCATTGGACCACTTGTGGGCAATGCATCCAGGCCCAGAAGAGAAAGCCAACTTGTTGGTTATCTTAAATGGTGCCCAAGAGAACAGCCTGAAGTAATGAGGTGAGCCCAATATAACAGTAGCTTCCGGGTTCTAAGGGGCTGAGGAGACACCAACAGCAAGCCAGAGAGATGCCTTGATAGTGGTATCTTTGTAGTGACTGCAAAATGCCCGTCAGAGGGTCAGTATTGCCAAGTCCGAGGAGCTTACAAGCCAATTTGCAACACTATTATGGAGTAGCAAGAACATTTCTGCTGTTATTACTTCTCTCTCTCCACTACCCTTCAACCTTGGAGTAGCCAGAGCCAGACTCAAAGTTGGGCGAGTGGGTGGGTGGGTGGGTAACAGGAACTCTAGACAGGAAAAAAAATAATGCTTTTTGAGGGGCAGCTAGCTTCTGGTGAGGGGGAATGCTTTAACTTTAAAAGAAATTCAAAGAATTTGACTGTTATATAGAATCAAAGATTTTAATTAATTTATATGTATGTGTGACCATTACATAGAATCAAACATTTTAGTTAGTTTATGTGATGTGTGTGTCTGTGTATGACCATGACTGACAATGACTAAAGAACTTTTAAAAAAAATTAAGTAGAAAAGTCATAGGGCCTGCCTGAATTTTCATCCAAGGGAGGTGAAAAGAGCTCTTAGGCCACAGAACAGGCTTGAATGGGCAGTGGGGGAATGATTAAAATTGTTTTCTGATTACATCTGATGAGTCCTGTTTATTCACTGTATTGGTTATATCATTATACTTCTGTTGGCTACACTGATAATTCAATGTGCTCGTTTCCAATTCTACCATGACAGCTCTGCCTTGGCACAATGGTGACTCACTGCCAAGTGCCTGGGCTGGGAAGAAGGGCCTCTGAGAAGTTCAACAAGGTGTTGCGGGATTAAAAACAAACCCATTATCAACTATTTCAAATGATCATTCTTTCACCGCTATCACATTTAATCATTACAATAAACTGATGGAGTTAGTTCTATTATTATTTCTCTCTCAGAGACGGGGAAACAGAGGTTCACAGAGCTAAGATTACTTGCCACGGGGGACCACACCTGAGAAATGCAGGAGAACTCAAAGCCGGGCTTTCTCTCTGCAGCTCATTCTCTAAACATCATATGCTTTAGCCTCCACTGATTCCTACTGTGGCTAAGAGGAGACAATGTATTGGTCTTTTTCTAATTAAAAAAATATTGGGGGCAGGCAGGGAGTCAACCAAATTTACTAACTCATGCAACTCTTATCTTAGGCATTTCCCCACTAAAAAAACAGCTTTAAAAACAGTTAGAGGAGGCTTCTGCTTATTATAACCTGGCCTCTGCCAAAGACTTATTTTTAATTTTTAAAAAGCCAGGTCAGTCAATCATTTGAATAAGATAGTTATAAAAAGCATCAGTGCCATGGTTTCCTTTCAATATGTTCATATTTATTATCTAGAAAATATTTCTGTGCTTATGAAAGTGCGTATTTTGAGAGTTTTGGAGCACAAAGAAAATTGCTTTGTTGCCTGAATTCTCACAAAGTTTAGACAAAGCCTACAGGTGCTTCTAGGCTACTGTCAGTATTGGAATTGCTCCTTCTCTTTCCTCCGTGTGGCAGAACTTTTAAAGAAGAAGAAAGATCCAAGTTTAAGAGTGTTGAAATAACAATCCTTTTATTATTTTTGGCATTTTACCACTTGGAAGTTTATTTTCTCCTTCTCTATATATTCTAATTCCTTTCTCTTTTTTGCATTGTAAAATGTAATAATTTTGAAATTATACACCTTAGCCTAATCTCTTCCCCCCACCCCCTACCCTGTATCATAATCTTTTCCAGTGGCGGGGTATGGGGGAGGGGGATTCCTGTCCCTTTCCTGCCTTCTTGCCTTCTGATTCTATTTGCCAGAAAAGCAAATAGGATAAGCCTAAGTGAGACCCCAAGGTCATCAGCTCCTGCCTCTGTGCCAGGACTTGCAAACTATCTAGGCCAATCACTAACCTGTTTTTTTAAAAAAGAACCTCCAATCAGAGAGAACCCATGACTTCTTTTTGTGAACTGTCGTACGGTGCAACTGCACACTATAAATGTCTTTCCCTATCTATGTGCACTCTTATCCCACTGTTCTATTTTTTTCATTTGTATTAACCCTTTCTCAACTTTTTCTGAATTTCTAGGCCTTCTCTTCCGAGAACTGGTGGGACACAAGTGTTACTCTGTAAGCAGCCACGATGTTGAGGTGAGTAGTAGTTCCTGGCAACCCTGGCACTCTAATCCCAAGCTACGTGGGATGGACAGAGGGGTGATGGCATTCCTCATTTTACAAGTTATTTATTCGGCTGCTGCTGCTCCACCAAGCTAAGCAAACACTAGATCCTTTTTAACTTCATGAAACTGACATTTCTGAGTCTGTTTGCAAACAGGACACTAGAGGGCTCCCCGGGGTTAAAAATAAGTGGAAAGTTATTTGAATGAAAAGTGATTCTGTACGGCATTTGTTTTTTCAGAATTTAAAATTAAAGTTTATTTTTTCAAGGATTAGAAAAAAATAGTTATACATCTTAAGACTGTGGGGTAGCCAGTTTAAAAGTCACCGTGCTGCTTTGCAATCAGTAGTTTTCAAGGGAGCTTTTAAAGCTGAGCTGAAATGTTTGAAATGTAGAACACTCTTGACCATGAAATATGTTCTACTTACATGCCTCAGCCTTTAAAAGTTCTTTGCATTAGAGTCAGGGATTACATTCTTCCTGGAGCCAAGCGTGGGGCCAGCTGTGTAAGTAAGGTTGCTTACTAGTTTCTTTTTAATAATGTAAAAAAATAGAACTAGAGATTCTTTTATTTTCTTTCAGCTGACTTTGGTGGAAAGAAAAGGAATAAAAAGCAGTCGAATTTGTGTTTTGTGTGTGGTGTGTGCATGACTGAATAAATGTAAGTGTTTCCATAATATATGGACATTTATGGCTTTTTTATTTTACTAACACTTAATGTGAGATAGTGGAATGTATTGTGAAGAAAATTTTGTACCATTAGGTTAAGAGAATATGTTTCTGAATTTGAATGTTAATACTTGGTGCTTCTGCCCAGGACTTTTTTGAAATAACATGGGATAGATATAGATTTTTTTAAACCTCCTGTTACTTGTTTTAAGTTATTTCTGAATTTCAAAAAGGAAAAGCCTAGGTTTGTCAAATGTTGATATTTTTGCTTCAGAATCAAATTAGATGACTCTAGCTACACGTTACAAAATATTCTTGGATTTTTGTGGCTTGTTTTCACTACTTTAAACTGAATATCAAATCTATACATCTATCTCATTTCCATTTTTTAAACTTGATCTTTTTTCTAACATTCAGTGTTGATATTTCTGAAAGGAAAGGGTTATTTTTTTTCTTTACTCTTGTAGAGGAACTTAAATGGTTTGAGACTGTGACTCAGTTAACTCTGTTTCCATTCATTCCCAGAAACAAACCACATTTCTCCTTGGGGAGGCTGATAGCAGTTTAAAAGGTTTGTTGTGGCGAGTGTCAGAAACATTCCCAACTCTGTCACCAACCCTTTCCTTCCACCTGTACCACTGGAGACCACTTAGACACCGAGGTGGACGTGACAGCTGAGTTCAGGAAACCATGCATCATGTCAGCAGAAGCCAACTGCAGACTTTAAACTCTGTTCAACATGTGGATGTGGCAGAGAAATGACCTGTCCAGACAAGCCAGGGCAACTTATAAACTGGTTCTTCTGCTCCCTGTGTGTCCCGCGGCTGTGTAAACTCTGGAGCAGCCGGCGTCCCAGGACCCGGAGGAACCTCCTGCTGGGTACTGCCTGCGCCATCTACTTGGGCTTTCTGGTGAGCCAGGTGGGGAGGGCCTCAATCCAGCAAGGACAGGCAGCCGAAAAGGGGCCACACCACAGCCGCGACCCCGCAGAGGCGTCCTTCCCTGAGATACCCCTGGATGGAACCCTGGCCCCTCCTGAGTCCCAGGGTAATGAGACCACCCTGCAGCCCAATGTGGTGTACATTACCCTACGCTCCAAGCGCATCAAGCCTGCCAATATCCGTGGCACGGTGAAACCGAAGCGCAGGAAGAAGTATGCGCTGGCATCTGCGGCCCCGGGACAGGAGGCCCTGGCTGGACCATCCCTTCAGCCGCAGGAAGATTCAAGGGCAGCTGATGCTGCAGTGCCTGGGTACACTCCAGGAGGAAACCCAGCCAAGGTTGGAGAGCAGCCGTGGAGGTTGGTGAGGGGTCGGGCAGTGAGAGCTGCGGGCTCAGACATCCAGCTGCCCAAGGCCAGGGAGAGCAACATCAGGATCTACAGCGAGAGCGCCCCCTCCTGGCTGAGCAAAGATGACATCCGCAGAATGCGCCTGTTGGCTGACGGGGCAGTGGCAGGCCCCCAGCCAGTGCCTTCCAAGAGCGGTGCCCGCTTGTTGGTGCTGGAGGAGAGCGCCACTGGCTCTGTGCCCCACTGTGGCCCTAGTCCCTGTGGGCTGCTCAAGCAGCCCTTGGACATGAGTGAGGTGTTTGCCTTCCACCTGGACAGGATTCTGGGACTCAACAGGACCCTGCCTTCTGTGAGCAGGAAATCAGAGTTCATCCAAGGTAACAGATTCACGTGCTTCATTACTTGCAGCTGTTCGGGATTCAGGTTCATTTTCTCTTTTCCTTCTCTCTCTTTTTTTAAAATGATTTTTCTCCACCCACATTTCACATTTGGACAGCAGCAGCAGCAGCAGCGTCTTTCCATACACTTGGCTTTCTTTATTTTCCCAGCCTGGGAGGATATGAGAGTTCCAGGGAAATGCTGTACAGGACATGCAAGAGTAAGCCCAAACTGTGTAATCTTTGCTCTCCATTTCCCTTGCTGCACTTCCCAGTGGCTTATTAAATCTAATTAAAGCCAACAGAGATTTGCATGTTGAGGAGAGGGGACTAGGGTGGAGGCAAAGAACTTGTTGACAGTCAGGCATACTATCAGATTGGTTACTATGGGAATAAGTAGAATTTTGTTCTTTGAAAGTTTTTAAAATAAGGAAGAAGTAGTTTATCTTTCTTCAGCAGATGGAATCTTTTTAAGAGACCCAGAGCCAGACCATGTTTGATTCAACCCCTTGATTTAACAAATTAAAAAGTTGAAGCAAAAAATAGATGGTTTGTTCACTACATATACTAAAAGTAGCCATGTGGTTTCTTCAAGCCCATGAATATGGTTTATTGGGCCCGATTTCCAAGATTCTCTCTTCCTGGGTGATAAGTGTTTTGGTAGATTCTAGGGTATATAGCCAGTTACTGCAGTTGCAGCCGAATGGGTTGGTATGTGGTCATGCCAGTGCCATATAAAGGATATTCTGTGAGTATCAAGCCTATTCCAGGATTTGAATACAAAGTACAGTGAATCAGTGGCTTGTATTTGCATGCAGAATGATCCCAGAAGTTACAAATTTGAATCCAGGCTTGCCCAAGAGGCTAAAAAGGACCCCAAACAGATTTTATAAACTCAAAAGATTACTCCCTTTCTACCTGTCACCATAAAATTTAGCATTTCAGTAAGATTCCCAGGGAGACTGGAATGGAATGGATTAAAATCTGGGGGGGAGGGAGCAAAAAATTAGCAAAGGGCCACACAAAATGATTACATCGTGTAATGATAAATATCGTTTTAAAATAATTTTAAAAAATAAATTGAAAAAAAATTGGGTTTGGCCCAGAACCAAACTGCATTTCCAATGGCTTTAGCACTATATAGTCTCAGAATGAATATTCCGTGAAGTGCCAGTGATTTGCCTAGAAGGATTTGGCACCACTTACTTATACTGGTTAATGTCTAAGTGCTCCAGGTTCGCAGGTATGTTTTGATGTCTCAAGTTCACAAAGTAGTCCATCATGATTATGCCAATGTGAGAAAGCCTCTCATTTAATATTAGTAAAAAATAATTTTTGAGTGTTCATTATTTGCTAAGCACTATACTAATTAATTCATGTAGTTCATAGACACATTGACCCATGGTTCTCACAACGGTGCTTTGAGGTAAGTATGTACTATTATTATTTCCATTTAGTAGATGAGAAAATTGAGTCTTATTCAGGCAAAGTAATTGGTCTTAACTCCCACAGCTAGCAAATGGCTAAGCTGGGTTTTGAACAAAGGCCTGGCAAACTTCAGGACATAATGTCTTAACCACTGGACTTAGGTGAATATATAACTTATTATCCAAACTGGAACCCTCTGGAGTGAAAGTTGGTACAGGTGGGCATTGGAACACCACGCATACACACAGGCTGCCCTGGGCAAAGCCGGGCACAGGATCACCTTTGTTATGCTATATTGCTATTCATTTCCACACCATAAAGACAGTGAACTCTTGGATATATCTTGAGGCAGGTACCCTGATATGTCCTTTGAACTTCCTTAGGATGCTCTTGAATGGAATTGTGGGAATAAAGTGTGGTTAATAGCCCAGGCTCTGGAGCTGGACTGCGTGGGTTTGAATTTACCAGCCACATGACCAGAAAATGCTACGGTATCTTTCTATGCCTCTTTTTCCTCAGCTGTAAAGTGAGAGTACTGCCTACCTTATGAGTTTGTCAGTTATACATGGAAAACACTTAGAATCAGTACTTGGAACAGGGTAAACCTTCAATAAATATTGGCGTTGTTACTACTACACCAAGCATACTAGGTACCAGGGTCACTGAGTTAACTCACATAACCTCAAAGCCTCGTAAATCATTTCTTTATGTGACGGGACTATGTCTAAAAACAAGATCCACTGATTCTTAATTAAACTTTTTGTGACCAGGATTCCACTTGGATATTTAATTCTGTGCTTTGAATTTCCAGCATCTTTGGGAATAAAGATTCAACTTGAAAGAGGGGTTTATAATCCCAATATAGCCTGGGTGTTCATCTCTCTATTCATATGTAAGTGGTATGGAAAAAACTCAGGAAGATCATATGGATATGACTTAATTTGATGAGTTAAATACCTAAGATTATATCTCAAACAATACTTTCTTTATTCTTTCTTTGCTACCTTCTCCTGTATGGTTATTTAGAATCATGAAGTCTTAGGAGCCTATGAAATGATTTACATATAGTTATGAACACTCTGTACAATGCAATTCTATGCATGTAGATTGTTATAGTGATTTAAAGTACATAAATAGACCAGTTCTGGTCATGGTATAGACAGTCTTATAGACATGGTATAGACAGTTCTTGGTATCTCTCTCCATTCACCTATGACAAGTCATTTCCTGACCTCCGTCTTTCTTCCCCTGATCTCTGCAGAAATGTGTATTTTCCTTCCAGGGCCCACCTATTCTCTTCTTCCAAGCTCAGTTGTGTTTGAGCCTCTCTGCCAACCCAAGAAGGGGATATATTTTATCTAGTTACCCAGCACATATTTCGGGCTCACTTTATAGCATCATATTATATAATATGTATTTGTATTACAGTTGCTTGTTTAATCATTTTTTCCTTCCCACTAGTCTCCAGGTCTGTGAAGGGAGAGGTACATACTGTCTTCTTTTCATTGCACTTTTGGATCCTAGTGAAAGAGTCTGGCACATAGTAGGTGCTCAATAAATATTTTGAATAAATGCATTCTTAGCTTGTTCTGCTGACTCTAAACAGTAAATCTATATTTGCCTCCAGCTTCCAATACTCAGGACAAGGGCTACCATTTTTAGTCCTGAATCCAGGCAGAGATTTCTCCTGGAGGATCTCCTAAAGAGTTCATTGTGAAGGAGATGAAAAATGTCCTTGGCAGCCTCCTTACAATGCAAATAATGTTTATGAGGATTATTTTTGTGAGGACCTGAATCCAGGCAGAGATTTCTCCTGGAGGATCTCCTAAAGAGTTCATTGTGAAGGAGATGGAAAATGTCCTTGGCAGCCTCCTTACAATGCAAATAATGTTTATGAGGATTATTTTTGTGAGGACATTAATATGGCCTTTTGGCATCACAATCTAGTGTAATTTGATAATATATTTTTTTCAGGAGTAATAATAGGATTTAATTTATTTAGTTATATGTTTCTCTGATGATCTGACTTGGTCTAGGAGTAGATCTTTTAATATTTAAGAGAGTGGATAGCTAGCAAATCTTATAAGTAATCTGCCCTAAATGTTTCTGTTCTCTGACTTCAGATTAATGTTTATTAAAAAAAATTCATGTCTGTACCAAGAATGTAGCTAGTTTGTTTTGTGGGTTGAATGTAGATATTTAGGTTATTTCAGTTAATGTTTTCAAGAATCCTATATAGTAGACATTTTTTTTAAACCTCGATTTAGAGATGAAAGAAAGGTAATACACTGAGTTAGATGTCCAGCAAGAATTCAAGCTCCTGTCTTCTAGCTTCCATGTCTTTTCTCTTTTCATCAATTTGCTTTCCTCAACAAATCTTTTAAGGGGCCCTAAGGTGTATTTTCTTTCTCCATCACTATAGCCTACTAGTCTCTCTAGGTATTTAATATAGTGAAACATAAGACTTACACACAGATGCATAGATACAGGCTATGGCAACCTTTTTTCTCAAGGAGACAGTTTAAGGGGCCCTAAGGTGTATTTTCTTTCTCCATCACTATAGCCTACTAGTCTCTCTAGGTGTTTAATATAGTGAAACATAAGACTTACACACAGATGCATAGATACAGGCTATGGCAACCTTTTTTCTCAAGGAGACAACAACCTTAACCATAGCTAAGAATTATTACATGTGACTATACACGAGGCACCATTGTTAGTACTGTGCTATCATTATCTAATTAAATCCTCATAAAATTTTTCCAAGGTGTACCCTAGTGACACAGAGCCTGGGGACTCTATGACAGACATTTAACAGGTAAGGAAATTGAGGCCCAGAGTAATTATGACCTTGCTGAAGGTAATATAAATTGCCTGGATGTAAAAAGGATATATGAAATGCAAAGGGAGATGTAAAAGAGAGTCAAATGCTGTGATTTGAAGAATCTGCCCACCCCCAGCCTCTCAGATGAAGCTGTTTATTTTGTCCAAAGATAAAGAATCCCAATTATAAAGTTCATCTTTGGGGTTTTTTAATTTAGTAAAAGTGGTGTGGGTGATCCAATCAGCACAGACCTGCTAGGTCAAGTTAGTCTGGGACAAGTTCTTGGTCACATAGTTTGATGAGTTCTAGATAATTCTCCTTGAGTACAAAAAGATAAATGTGTAATTATTGTACTTACTGGTATTATACTATATACTAGACCATTTTTCTGAAAGATGTTACTCCAAAGATATCTTAAAAAATGAGTAGAGTATACTTGTGAAGGGCAAGGCTGTAATTAGGTGGGGAGTGCCAGCAGTGTACCACAATCTACAATCCAGCAGTTATCACTGGAGCAGATTCTCATCCTAAATGTCTGGGCAGGAGGTGCAAAAATAAATTGAAATCTGGCATCAAAGGGCCTTTTAAAAAATTTTATTTTTGCAATAATGAAATCTTTTACAATTGTGGATCTATAAAGAATCTAGTATTCTGCATCACACAGTGCCTATACTGTATTTGCAATCTTTTGTCTATCACACCACTTAACAGTTGTACATGGCAGCTACTATTGTTACTAGAGGAATCCTGAGGCTCAGGAAGTTTATGAAATTTGCCTTAAGTCACCTGGATTGTGAGCAGTGGAACTAGAATTTGTAC